CCTCCTGCCCTCTGCTCGCCGCGGCCGTTTCGGAGAACCCTGGGGCCCCAGGCGGCGAGGGCAAACGCACCCACGACGCCGCGGCGGGCACGGTTCGCAGGCGGGGGGCAGCCCATCGCGCTCGGGGCAGCGCGGGCGGGGCGGGGGGGCCAGGCCGAAAAGGCTGAAGAGAAGGACGTCCATCCCTCCGCCCCTCCCACCTTTATCTCTCCCCTCATCCTCCATCCCCCGCCCCTCCTGCATCATCCTCCGAGGCCGGTCGAAAGGGCGGGCCGGGCGTTGTCTAAGACTTCCCCACCATTCATGATCGTGAAGCTTGAAGCTTGCAACAGTTCCAGGGATGGAGGGCAGGTCGCTTCCAAAGTGTGGCTCTCGCCTTAGCGCCGCGCACATTCGCCAAAGAAACATTGCCACAACTTCACGGATAGAGGGCGGCCCGCTCTCAGTATGTGGCTCTCGCCTTGACGCCGCGCACGCACATTCGTTAAAACTTGCAAGAGCTTCACGGATGGAGGGCGGCTACTTTTCAAATATGACTCTGGCCTTGGCGCCCCGCACACTCGTCAACATAATTGCAAGAGCTTCACGGATGGAGGTCGATTCCTTTTTTAAACGTGGGGCTCTCGCCTTAGAGCCGCGCGCACTCGTCTTAGAGACTTGCAAGAGCTTCACGGATGGAGGGCGGCTCCTTTTCAAAATGTGGCTCCCGCCTCAGCGCCGCGCACATGCGCATTCCGAGCTTGCAGCAGTTGCAAGGATCATCGTGGCGAATGTCGCCAACACCTTTTCGGCACGATGCCGGCATTGCAAGGCACAACGGTCACGTGGATTCGCGGAGCTGAAGTACTAGACATGGTGTTCTGACAAGAGTCGGGACCGCCCAGACGCAGCAGTAACACTAACTCGCGACGTTGGAGCCCCAGGACGGGCGTTCTGGCACATTTCGTTGATCATCATGTTCCTGCCGCTCCTCCACGCTTCTGCATCCACCTTCCACATCCTCCTCATCGCCCCCCTTCCAAAGCCTCCTCATATCCTCTTCCCCCTTCTCCTCCACCGTCTCCTCCCCCTTTCCGTCCTCTAGCGCAGCCTCGGGAAAGTGTTCTCCTGACACCGGGCACCGGGCCAACGCCGCAAGACGAGTTGGGTCTGCATTGCGTAGCCTGCACCACACAGTTCCCATCACGCACTTGCACCACATAGATGTCACCGCATTGCGTGCGACGATACGACTTTACACAGCATTCCTTGTACCTTGTAGCTTCTGCAGCATACTTCGCGCATCGCAAGCACGACGAGCGAAAGCGCTGCAGAATTTTGAGCGCGACGTCAACTGACATGCCAGCACCGCGCATGGATTGCTGCCCGCCAAAGGAGGGTGAGGGGGAGGGGGAGGAGGAGGAAGAGAAGGGGCACGAGGAGGAGCCGAGCTGCTGCCTTGCTCTTCCCCCCTCTCCTCTTGCATGGCGCTGCTGTAGACACCGCGGACACATCGTCTTTCAGGGAAGTGCGCACTTGGATCTTCGGCATCGACCATTCCTGGCGAGCCGTTCTCAGTTCGCCAGCCGAAACATACTGACCGTAGCAATGGCAAACGCGCAGGGAAAACCAGAATCTCAGTCGGAGGCGGAGGACTCCTCGCGGCTTACGCGGGCAGCTTGCACCATAGGAGTCTCGTCCTCCCCTTGGCGGAGTGCATCGGGCACTTCGCGAAGCTGCTCGCTGGTAGCCCCGAGGGGGAAGAGGCTCGCAAGTCTTAATGAAATTCGGAGCGGCGCCCCTCAGAGGGACATGTGTCACCCTGGCGAGGAAGAGGAGCCCGCCAGCGCCGCGACGGGGCGCCACCCATAACAAAATCAAGTTTCCTCGGCCCGGGCTTCGCAAGCCCGAACTCTCGCCCGAAGAGCCGTCATCCTCTGCCCATAGAGGCGACACTGACGGTTGGTGGGAGGAGGAGGAGGAGGAGGAGGAGGAGCAGGAGGAGGAGGACCAGTGTAAACCCAAGAGTCATCAACGATATTGGATTAAATCCTCCCTCCAAGCTCCTTCTTCATAGGCCTCTACAACGGTTCATTTCCCTTGATGGAACTGCCTCGTTGGAAGACACCCGCTTGAAGACCCTGAAGCATGGCAAAACATTGTTCTCGGGATTTCAACGCCACGGATCAACCTGACTGTTACGTCTTGACGATCCTGAGTCGCGCCAGAACGCCATTCTTTGGTTTTCAACACAGAGAACCAACGTAACTGCTGCACCCGCATAATCCGAAATCCTTCCAACACACACTGTCTGGTACGCTGGTGATGGGAATCCGCGAAACTCTTGCAAATGTTTAAAACGAATGTGCGCGGCGCTAAGGCGAGAGCCACATTTTGAAAAGGAACCGCCCTCAAACGCGAAGCTCTTGAATCTTGTTAAACGAATGTGCGCCGCACTAAGGAGCGACAGTTACAATTTGGAAAACTATTCGCCTTCATCCCTGAAATTCTTGCAAACGTTTCAAGCGAATGTGCGCCGCGCTGAAGCGAGAGCCACATTTTGAAAACCACCATGGAGGAGGAGGAGGTGGAGGAGGAGGAGGAGGAGGAGGAGGAGGAGGAAGAGGAGGGGGGGGGAGGAGGACAGGAGGAGGACGGGGGGGAGGAAGAGGAGGAGGAGGAGGAGGAGGAGGAGAGGAGGAGGAGGAACAAGGAGGAGGAGGAGGGGGGGGGGGAAGAGGAGGAGGAGGAACAGGAGGAGGAGGAGGAGAGGAGGAGGAGGAGGAGGAGGAGGAGGAGGGGAGGCGGGACGGGAAGCGCTGACAACTCATCACGCAGCGCCCAGGCCCAAACCACAGCCGACGCCAGCCCACCTCCCGAGGCCAGCTCCCCCTTCTCACTCGCCGCCGCGCGCGACTGCCCACGGGCGCCCACGGGCGCAGACCGCCTGCTCAGCCGCGGGAGCCGCCGGAGAGCCACCGCCGCACAAACCGCCGCTGCTCCTCCGTCAGTGCCGAGGGACAAACGACGGCACCGGCACGGAAACTTTCGGAGGTCCGCGCGGATTTCTTGAAGCGACGGTTCGACGGATCGAGGGCTCCGGGTTTCCAGGGCTCGAGGGCTCTGGGAGTCGAGGGACCGAGGCTTCGAGGATACGGTGAAGGCATTGGAGAAGGAACCGTTGGATCAGGAATCCGGGGTCTGGAAGCCTGTGGAGCTCCAATCATGGGGTGGCCGTGTATATCACCGCCGCGCTCATCAGATAAGGGACCCTTCAGGGTCTGAAGCCTCCTGGGCACATTCCCTAACGAAAACCTCCCCCGTATTGGACGGACCAAGGAGGGCTCGGGGGATCGAGGAGGGATCGAGGAGGGATCAAGGGATCGAGGCCTCGGGGATGTTGAAATCTGCGCTGGGCCCCACGCCCTGGCGCGCGGAGCGCATCAGGGTCGGCGCCAGAGGCGCGGCTAGGGGGCGCCCAGAACCGATGCTCCGGTCCGACGAAGCCTCGAGCGCCAGATCCGTCCAACATCCTCGAAGCCCTGACCCCTCGATCCCTCGAACCCTCGAGTCCTCGAGCCCTCGAACCCTCGATCCGCCGAACCATCGATCCAAGAAGTCCGCGCGGACATGAGTGCGAGGCGGGGATTTATCCATATCCACCGCCTGGGAACCGACGTCCTGGTGCCCCAGCGGGCGGTGGATACAGATATATTTCGGCCCTCGGGGGCCCGAGTATGTCCATATCCACCGCCTGCCGAGGCTCCGAAAACTGACCCTCCAGGCGGTGTGCATGGATAAACTCCCGCCTCGGACTGAAGGCGTTTGCGCTCACACGTCACCGCTTCTTCCTCGGCCTGGGGGGATCGGGAGAGGGCTCCCGAGTCCAGCGGGTCCCCTCGGGCGGAGTACCCGGCCTGCACGGCGCCCAGGGCCCCCTCCGCGCCAAGCTCCTGAGGGGGAGCGTCAAGGGGGGCATCGCCTTCGAGGTTACAGGCTCGAGTCTGTTTTTGGTTTGCAGTCGGCCTTGATTGGAGAGGGCACGCGAGAGGACACAGGACCCTTCCGAGGGCCACATCGCCATAGGAGTGCAAGAAGGCACGTGTCGCGAGGCACAGGACACAAGGGTACCCTTGAGCTGGCAGGGTCGACCTACTAATCCGGGCCGACTGTATGATTGGAGGTACAGTGGAGGCCAGTCCACAAGAAACCTTCCACAAGAAACCCAACCCTGAGACCCGAGGGCGTCCATGGATGCTCGGTGTGGACACGTCACGCTCTCCATGGCAACACCATCGAAACCCAAGAAACCTAGGGGACCCTGGAGGCGGATCTGCACTATAACGGGCGTGATCGGGGGAGGGTGGGGGGGGAGTTCGTCCCCCCCCGATCACATCATGGCGGGGTGGCGCCGGAAATCTTGGGAGACCCTCGAAGAATCCGCATGAAATCTCTTTACAACGGTTGGCAAAATAACATGAAGTGACCTGGGGGGGCGGGAGCGAGCCGATCACGGCTCTTTTCGAACGATTTCGCTGGTTCTCGGCTGCTTTCTAGCCTCGTGATGCCTTCCAGCGGCTGCGCCTGGCCGAGAGCGACCTGGGGGTCCCTGGACCGTCCAGAACGGCCGAGGGAGGCCCGAACCATGACCCGAAAACAGCCGACCGACTCGGGAGGGATCATCGAGCTTGAATGAGCGATGCATCGCCGATGGATCGGCGCCAGGCCCACGCCGGCGAGTCTGCACGTCCCTGGGCGAGGTGGGCTATGTGGCCCATATCGGCGATGAATGCAACGAAGGAAAACTGCATTAACATAAATTACATCAGAGAAAAAACCCAATCAGTGGATGGTTTGAAAACTTCGGCAGGTACCATGCCAAAGGATGGAACCCACCGAAATCGGCCTAGAACCAATAACCAGGAACCTGGGAACCTGGAACTGGGAACCCAGGAACCCAGCCGGCTACCAAAATCGGCGGGAAACTTTCGCCAAATCTTTCAAACCCCAATCAATGGATGGTTTTGGCTGAGGAGATCGACCGGGAACCCGGGAGCCCGGGAACTGCAGAACCCACCGAAATCGGCCCGGAGCCAATCAGCGGGAACCCGGAACCAGGAACCCGGGAACCCAGCCTGCTACCAACATCGGTGGAAAACTTTCGCCAAATCTTTCAACTTCCGCTAGGACCCCTTCAGTGCAAGCACTGATTGGGGAAAAACTGCATGAGCATAAACTGTTGGAGGTCCGCGCAGATCTCTTAGATCTGCACGTCGAAAATGTATATTTGTGCAGTTTTTCTTCCTCGGCTATCGGCGAGTAATAGCCGATCGGGGGTCGATGCAGGTCCCTCTCATCAGGTGCCCGTCCCACAAAAGCCTATGTGGCCCCCGGTGCTGTCCGAGTTGGGCCTGATTTAGATTGGATTTGGAACACATTTAGGACGGGATTTGGACCGGATCCGGATGGGATTTGGACCGAATTCGCCCCCTCACAAGGGAGACGAGAGGAAAGATGAGGGGACGGGGGAACAGGAAGGGCGAAGAGGAGCAGGAAGAAGGTCCAGGCGCGGTGCAAGTGCAGCAAAAGCTGCTTAGAATGTCGCCGCCCGCGGACATCGAGCCCCGAGCCTCTCCCCACACTCTTCCTCCTGAGCTCCGGGAAGAGGCGCCCCAGCAGGCAGGCCGCGACCACCCCGGTCCGCCCGCGCCCCCCCCAGCAGTGCAGGTAGACCCGCTCCCCGGCGCGCAAGCGCTCCGACAGGCAGTCCAGCAGCCCGGCCAGCTGCCGAGGAGGGAAGGAGCAGAGAGCTGCACGAGCAGAAGCTGTCGGAGCCCCGCGCAGAGTTCTTAGGGGGCAAACAAACCTGCCTCGCTTTTGACCACCCTCGCTTCCAAGAGATACCAAGCGATGCCACACTACGGCCTGCACTGGTGAGGCCGCTGGACGAGGAGGCGCGTGGCATGACTTGGTTTCGCCTGGAAGCGAAAGCGGGGTAGGTAATTCACGCTCTGAGTTCTTGAATCCGCGATGGGCCTCCCGCCCTGGCGCGCGGAGCGCGCCAGGGGCGTCGCCGGAGGCGCCGAGCTGGGGGCCCAAGCGCCGATCCAGGGAATCCGCGCGGACCTCCAAAGTTATCTGTGTACAGCTGTCTCTCCTTCGAGATGGGTCGGGGTCCCCAGGTCTGGCATGGGGGCGTGCAAGAAGCTCGTGGAGGGAAAGAAACAGATGGCCATGACCAAGACTGAACGCGGACTCGTCGGTATCGATCTTGGTCATCGCCCAAACAGGACATCGCCGACTCGTGGATCACCCCCGCGCATCGGCGATGCACGGTATCGACCATGACCGAGATCGGCGTCAACTGGATCTTTCAGGGGCCACTTATGGGAGCCTTCCATCTCAAATTGCTGGCTCTTGCGAATCGACGCAAAAATGAAGCTCGTCGACGCCAAATCGGGCGCTATCTCACCGATCACCAGACGCTAACCGACGCCAGCGCACTCGAAAGGCAGAACCTTGTAGGTATACAAGGCCCCCACGACCTGCATCCCGCGACATCTTTGAGACGAAGCCAGGACGACCATACAGTCGGGTGAAGGTAGACCGAGAATATCTGAGACCCGGCGGCTCTGGACGTTGCCTCGGGTGCCGCGGCCTTCTCAGAGCGTTCGGGAACGCAATGAGAGCGTTCTGCACTGCTCTAAAACGAATGGATCCTCGTACCAGCCCCGCCCGACGGCCATCGTGGTTCTTCCCTCGAGATCAACGCCGCCGCGCTCCCCGCCAGCTCCGCCGCCCGCCCGGCGTAGCGCTCGAAGCGCCCGGGGAAGCCCGCCACGCTCACGCCCCGAGCCGGCCAGGACGCTGGAGCCTCCTGCGGCGGCAGCTCGCCCTGGAGGCAGACGAAGGTCGTCACCTTGGCTCTTGCGAATCGACGCTCGTCGACACTCATCGACGCTACATCGAAGCTGTATCGGCGCCCATTGACGCCCAATCGGCGCTATCGCATCGACTGCCGGACGTTAATCGGCACTAGCGCACTCTGAAGGCGGAGGTGCGCGGGTTCAGCCGGGCCTAGGCCAGAAGAAGATTCCTCAAGAACATGAGACCCTCCGCTGGCCAAAGCTGAAGAACACCCGAGGGTGCCCTCCCCAGGATGCACAGTGACATCCGACAAGCACGGATCTTATACCTCGGCCTGGCCGTATTCGACGCTAGCGCACTCTCAAGAAAGAATCGCGTGGGCACACGAGGCTCCCAGGATTTGCTGCCGAGCACCTTGGCGTCGCGCAGGAGGGACGCCAGCTGCTGCTCGCCCGCCTGCGGCGACGTGCAGTACACCGGGCTCGTGTACGGGTAGCGCCCCACCAGCAGCCGCCCTCGCAGCAGCCAGTTGGCAAAGCGAGAGAACCTCTCTGGCTGCAGGCCGGGGGGCGCCAGCTATCCGCCTCATGCCACCAGCCCTGTGGGCGTACAGCGGGACTCAGCACAGAAGTCAGAAGTGCATCCGTCTCCAGAACATGGGCCCTCCGCCAGCCAGACTGACGAACATTCGAGGGTGCCCTCCCCGAGGATGCACCAGAGCATCCAGAAAGCGCGGCGAGTATCAGGGCACCCTCCTCAGACCGACCTCGATCTCATATCTCCGTCCGACCGTAGACGGTATGAGGGATTGTCTCTTCCCTCTTCCAATACCTCTTCTTTCCCTTGCCGGGGAGTTTGCCCCTCCCCCCTTCTCCCCGTGGTCTGGGGGGGGCTGTCATCCTAAGCTCACTTCAGACAGCCGAAGACGGCCCCGGATAGCTCCAGACACACCTCCCAGATGCCCCAAGAAGGCCCAAAGACGGATGCAAGTGACCCCGAAACCCTCCCAAGGATACGCCCAAGAGATCAACATCTTGAAACACCTCAAACTGTCCAAAGATGTTTGCCGTCTCGCCTCCTCGCCGCAGATGGGCCTGTGAGGCCCCAGTGTGCCCCCAAGATGGCCCAATATAGCCCAAAGGGAAGCCCAGATGGGCCCAACGACGGCCCAAGAGGCTCCAAGAGCGCCCCAAGAGAGCCAGATTCGTTTGCCTCGGAAGGGGTAGAGGGGGAAAATTCACCGCACTCCACCACCACACCCACCCTTTTTGACCCAAGGGGCCCTCAATGACCCCAAGACCCCCCAAAGGAGTCTCAAGAGTGCCCCAAGGCCTCCCCAAAGAGCCCAACGAGAGCCCCGAGAGAGTCCCAAGAGAACCCCGAAAAGATCCCAAGAAGACACCAAGATGGCCCCAAGAGTCCTCAAATAAGCTCTCACGAGAAAAAATCTGCGAAAACATCCTCCTCCTTTCCCTCCTCCTCCTCTTCCTCCTCCTCTCTCCTCCTCCTCCTCCTCCTCCTCCTCCTCCTCCTCCTCCTCCCCCCTCCTCCTCCTCCTCCTCCTCCTCCTCCTCCTCCTCCTCCTCCTCCTCCTCCTCCTCCGCCTCGTCCTCCTCCTCCTCCTCCTCCTTCTCCTGTCCAGGAGGCCTCACTGGGCTCCTACGACAGCTCGCCTGGGCATCGGTTCTGGAGGGGCTGATGGGGATACGCGAGGCGTCAACAATACGGGGCTGGGGCTCTGCAGGGTGAGTCCTCTCTCGTTGCTTGCTTGCTGCTTAGCTAGCTGAAGGGGCCGTGGGACACACAAATTAATACACACAAATAACAGGATTCCCATATATTTTCCCATAGTTTCTGGGTGTTTGTCTTCCCCCCACTTCATCTTCCCATATTTTCCCGGGGATCGACGATTCATTGTGTCTGTGTTTTTTCCCCCCTGAGCTAGCAAATGTTGAAAGGGGGAGGGCTCGCTGCTCCCGACCAGTTCGACGAGAAAGGCAGCCCAGACAGCCCGAGAACGCCTCAAGATGGCCAAGGGTGGTCCAAGAAGGCACCGACAACGCCCGATGTCGCCACTCCGCGCCCGGCGCCCCGCGCGCAGTGCGGCTCCGCGCGAGCCCCGTCAGAACACCCAGCCCTTGCGCAGCGTGGCTCTCTTGGGTACGCTTGGGAAGCTGCCTCGCTGGGCCGCTCAGCCCAGAAGGCTGGCTGGACCCCTCGCAGGATTAGCAATCAAGGCACCCCTAACCCTTGCGGGAGGGCCCTAAGTCGGGAGGGCCAAGAACACATTACCGCACCAGACCGTACCGGACCACCCAGATTGAGCATCCCTACTGCAGAGATGGGGACTCCAGTCTGAGGGGAACAGTATCGTGCTGGGAGGAAGGGGTTGGGACGATGAGGGGCATGAGCAACAGCATCCAGACGCAATAGACGATACCTCCGGCCGCCGACGGGTAAGGATTTTTTTTTTCGCGCCAGACTGGGCCCTACCTCGGCGGGGAAGCGGGGGAACTGGACTGCAGGTCTCCGCGTTCATTCCGTCGACACGACACGACGAGCAGGACGATACTGCGCCACACGAGGAAGAGGAGGAGGAGGAGGAGGAGGAGGAGGAGGAGGAGGAAGAGGAGGAGGAGGAGGAGGAGGAGGAGGAGGAGGATGTCCTCATTCCTCCCCGCCCCCATCCCCCCAACCCGCGCACTGTCGTCCTGACGTCCACGCTGCGTCTCCCTCGCGCGAACAGTGCCAGGAGGCCTCTGACTCTCGGATGATCACGCGCTCGGCGCGAGGGCGGGGAGCGCGCCCCGCACTCCGCCGCGGGAGAGGGGGGGCGCGGGGGCGATGCCCTGCCCGCGGCTTAGGTTGGGCCTGTCCCCCTACAAAGGGACTTTGGACGAAACACTAAAAATACCCCCCCCCATAAAAAATTACCCCAAAAATGATAGCAAAGATTCGAAAAAATCGTCCCCAGAGTTTTGTTTCACTACTTTAGAATATTCCTCCTGTAGAGGGGGCAGGCCCGACTTAACCCGCGGCCTCGCGCGGCCGCGCCCTCCCCTCCCCGCGTGGAGGAGAGGAGCCGCGCCCGGAGGCGCAGCCCGCGCGCGGTGCGAGGCTCAGGCCTCCCGCTCGCGCCCCTGCCGGGTGTTGCTGGGAGTACCCCTGGCCCAGGGTGCCCCCAGAACTCTCGAGGTGGCCCAGACGGCCTCCAGAGCACCCCTCACGAGGCCCAGAGGGCCCCAGGGCCCCCATAATGGAGCGAAAAGCTGGAGGCACCTTGGGCCAGAGGCACTTCTAGCAACACCCGACCCTGCGGGCGCACCCACGCCGGCCCCGGATCTCCGACGACACGACTTGCTCGACAGGCGCCTCTCCCTGATGGCCTCGACGTCGGCGATACAGTCAACCCGTATCACGAGGATATGCGCGGTAAGGATGCAAGGGCCTTGGAAGGCCGTGGCGACACCTCGCGGGCGGGGCGCGGCCAGCGAAAGCGGCCAAAGACGGGCCGAAGGAGAAGGATACAAGGGCAACCTTGGGAAAGCTGCTCATCCTGACCATGCGGGTTGAGGGTACGATTTGTTCGACAGGCGTCCCTCCCTGATTTCCTCGATTTCGGCGTTATTTCAACATCCTCGATGCCCGTGGCTGTCTTCAGCACACGTTCTTCCAGCGTGGCGTCTTTCCTCGACGTCGGCCCTCGGAGGCCCGCCATCGGGCCCCCAGGACCCTCAAAAATGCACCCTGTGCTGAAAACTGGCCCTAGGGCAGGGGTCCTCCTCCTCCTCCTCCTCCTCGTCCTCCTTCTCCTCCTCCCCCTCCTCGTCCTCCTCCCCCTCCTCCTCCTCCTCCTCCTCCTCCTCCTCCTCCTCCTCCTCTTCCTCCTCCTCTTCCTCCTAGGGCAGGGGCCGAGCCTTGGCTTTCCAGAGAGCTGGGAGATCGCCCTCCAGACTTGTGGGCCCATCGGGCCTGCTTAAAACCTCGATTGCGATTGCAGCTCAGGGGTCTGGATGTGATTCTGCCCTCCCAGATCAAGGGTCTGGATGAAATGCTGCCGTCCCGGGAAGTCAGGGAGCGCCGACACCCCGCCCAGGCCCGCCCGAGGCTGCCGAACGGAACGTCGCGGGCGGAAGATGCGTAGATCCGTAGTCAATGCATCGCAGACAGGGCCCTGGGCCGCGACCCCGTGGCTGGGGCGTTTTCTTATCGCGGATGCCCCGCGCGGAGCGCATCCATGCGGCCGCGTACCCACAGGATCGCGCCCCAGAATCCACACCGCGAGGGCGCAGGTGTGGATACGCTCGCCGCTCGTGAGAGATGGCCTGGCAGGGACGCTCCGCTGGTCGCCCCGCGGTTGTCGTCGGTCGGTCGTCGTCGGCCGTCGTCGGCCGGTCGGTCTGCAAAGGCACGCGGCGGACACCCGGCGACCCCTGCGCAGGACGAGCCGCCCCTGCGACCCCGCGCCCCCTGAGCATCGTGCAAGCGATCCCTATCCCCACTGGCGTGGGCTGGGCCCCACTGGCCGCTGCACCCCACTGGATGGGGATGCTCAGGCTGCTCCCCTCGCCCACGGGGGTGGCGGGCTGGTGGGGCTGAGACACCATGGCCTGGTGGGGATGGGGATGGGCGAGACCATACTGACCCCCGCCCGCGCGCAGCGCCGCGCAGCGCCGCGCGCCGCCGCGTGGCCTGCGGCGCCCGGGCACCGCCGCGCAGCGCCGCGCCGCGCCGAGGGCCGCCGCGGCAGCGCCTGGCCCGCGCGCGGCGGGCAGCGCCGCGGCGGTGCCGGGCCCACGCCCGGCGGCGGCCGCCAGGCAGCCCGCGGCTCCCGCCAGGAGCGCTGGCAGGGCCGCGCGCGGCGGCGAGCCGCGCTGGGGCGCTCGGGAAGCCGGGCAGCCGCGGGGCGGCATCAGTGCCCGCTCGGCTGGGCGGGAGGAGCTGGGAGGAAGGGGCGGAAGGGTGGAGAGAGGGCAGGCAGGAGCGAGAAGGAGGAGGAGGAGGAGGAGGAGGAGGAGCGGGGAGGAGGAGGAGGAGAAGGAGCGAGGAGGAGGAGGGGGAGCGGGGAGGAGGAGGAGCGGGGGAGGAGGGAGGAGGAGGAGGAGGAGGAGGAGGAGGGAGGAGGGGAGGCGAGGAGGAGGAGGAGGAGCGGGGAGGCAGGAGGAGGGGGACGGGGAGGAGGAGAAAGGGAAGAGAGGAGGAAGGGCGAGGAGGGGAAAAAGGAGGAGGAGGAGGAGGATGTTGGAGCCGAGGCAGTCGGGAGAGAGAATCGAGGAGAAAAAGGGGTTGAACGGGGATCGAGGATAATGAGTTGAGGAGGAGGAGCGAGGAGGAGGAGGAGGCGGTAGGAGGAGAGAGGAGGAGCGAGGAGGAGCGAGGAGGAGCGAGGAGGAGCGAGGAGGAGCGAGGAGGAGCGAGGAGGAGCGAGGAGGAGCGAAGAGGAGAAGGAGGAGGAGGAGGAGGAGGAGGAGGAGTCGGCAACGTCATGCCCATGAGTAGGATCTACGCTACCAGGAAGCACAACTGGGAGCTACCGCACACAACGACGCCAAGATCAGGGACGACTGGAAGAATATCAAACACATCGAGATGAGGCGGGCCGCAACGGCCATTGCCAAAAACAGTTGAGCAGGACTACCTACAGCAGATGATGTGGCAACGATCTCCTTCACCAAGGCCATCATCATCATCAACAATCTCTGGTCCAGCAGACGAGGGAGATCCGCCGATCCGGCGTGTGAGTTTGAACGAGCGTGGGCTTGGGCTTTTTTTTATTTTTTGTTTGTGGGCTTGAGCTTCGCTCCTCGAACGCCGTTCTGTGTGTGGGGGGGCGGGGGGGCGATGTGCTCCGCTTTCCGCTCCGTCGCAGCTCCGCTCTGTGTGTGGGGGGAGGGGGTGCGATGTGTTCCGCTTTCCGCTCCGTCGCAGCTCCGCTCAGTGGGGGACGGGGGGGGGTGCGATGTGCTCCGTTTTCCACTCCGTCGCAGCTCCGCTCTGTGAGGGGGGGGCGGACGAAGGAGGTGGGGGGGAGGGACGAAAGGGGAAGAAACAAATGACAGGCTCAGGGGAAGAGAAGGAACGCACAGGACTGCTGCCAACAGCAGCGGGAAGCCCCCCGGATCGGCGGCATTGGCCGGAGGCCAACACAATAGAGGCAAGCACCCCAGGAACCACTTACAACATATACAAATCTATACGAGCGAGCTAGAAAAGGAGATCGAGAGCATTACCATTTTCCAGCGGGACAGCAGCAACGCCAACAAGGACGACCGATACAGCGACAACGAGGCTGTCGACCACAAGGCCGACCAACCACAACGCGAGGTACCACAAAAGAGGACCGCCACACCACCGCCAAGAAGACTGATAAGGGCCAGGGAGACAACGGAATGTCAGGATGTCGGCACATTGCTCAAGAATCTCAGCGATGACGACCATGTCATGGCCTACGATATCACAAAGAACAAAGCCGACGCCAACAACGAGATCCGGGACCTGATGAACCACCTCCGAAACCAGAACAAAAACAGCCCAACGTGACCGACATTTAGAAACAACACAGGTTCAAGGTTACTGCAACGAGCTCATGAGTGAGATACAGAGCGCCAAGCAGACGACCGAGAAGATGGCATCGCACCACGAGCACATGCAGATGCGAGAGGAGGCGGCGATCGAAAGGACCGAGAATGAGATGGAGGAGGCCCTCCGCAAGGGCAGCGCCAACGACCGCATCCAACGTGCACCGTCGAATGAAAGGCTGAGGAAATTATCCCAGTGCGACCGTACATAGGAGTTGGAACCCCTAGGAAAAAAGCATTAGTACGAACAGTAAAGCTGAAGCTAAGCTATAGCTAAGTTAAAACTAAACTAAAGCTAAGCTAAAGCTAAGCTACAGCTAAGCTCAAGCTAAGCTAAGCTAAGCTCAAGGTAAGCTAAAGCTAAGATGAAGCTAAGCTAAAGCTAATCTAAAGCTAAGCTAAAGCTAAGCTAAGGCTAAGCTAAGGCTAAGCTACCGCTAAGCTAAACCCGAGCTACAGCTAAGGTGCATATAAGCTAAAGCTAAGCTAAAGCTACGGTACAGGCTCAGCTAAAGCTGAGCTGGAGCTAAGCTAGAGCTACGGTAAAGGCTAAGCTACAGCTAAGCTAAAACTAAGCTTAAGCTAAGCTAAAGCTAAGCTAAAGCTAAGGTGCAGCTCAGCTAAAGCCAAGCTAAAGCTAAGCTAAAGCTAAGCTGAAGCTAAGCTAAAGCTAAGCTAAAGCTAAGCTAAAGCTAAGCTAAAGCTAAGCTAAAGCTAAGGTGCAGCTAAGGTACAGCTAAGGTAAAGCTAAGCTAGAGCTAAGCTGAAGCTAAGCGGGGGCTAAGCTAAAGCTAAGCTGAAGCTAAGCGAAAGCTAAGCTAAAGCTAAAGCTAAAACTAAGCTAAAGCTAAGCTAACGCTAAAGTGCCGCTAAGCTAAAGCTAAGCTAAAGCTAAGCTAAAGCCTAAGCTAAAGCTAAGGTACAGCTAAGGTGCAGCTAAGGTAAAGCTAAGCTAAAGCTAAGCTGAAGCTAAGCTACAGTTAAGCTAAAGGCTAAAGCTAAGCTAAAGCTAAAGCTAAAGCTGAAGCTCTCAGGGGACTGGGGGGACCGCGGGGCGGGGACTGGGGGAACCGCCCAGGGCGGTTAGCACTGCCCGGCCCTTTAAGCTAAGAGAGTAAGAACCCTTCTAGGCAGAGCCTGTGTAAGGAAAAACTCCAAGACGCACAGAAGAAACTCGTCGACAAAAACGACGACCGTGCCAACATGAAGCAGCAGTTAAGAAAGAAGGCGAAGACTGCGGACAAAAGACAAACGTACTACAACATGGCCACGGATGCCGAGCAGCAGAACTCCCACATAGAAGCAAACATGGCAGAGATCTCTCTGCTCACCTTGGTCGCCCACTCTGTTTTACTACATGCGTCTCTTCGTCCCTTTCCCCGTCAACTCTCATGGGCAGGGTTTCTGAATGGGCTGGCGGGGATACGTGTTTTTGATCGCGACCGCGAACGGACACCCGCGCGGCGTC